GCACGGGTTTCAGTAGTCAAGCCAGAGAAGGACTCGTTACCCAAGAAAGCCTGGCCATCACTCCAGTAAAGTAGATCCGAGAAATGTTGCATTTGGAATCGACCAGGGGATCACTCCTTTGACCAGTGTCTTTCTCCGAATAGTAGTCATCTGCCATCCCTATTTTAAAAATAAAATAATCCACATAAGCTGGATTGCCATACCAACCGCGAAAGCCTATAAAGTGTGCCATCACTGAGATTAATATCCAAAGAAGCTCTAGGATACGAACAGATTCGATCCCCATTTACTGCTATAGCATGAACGGATAGGTCAGCTCCTGTTTCCCGATCGATAATGTGTAGAGTGATCTAGGTTCTGAAAAGGGAACTTACTTCCACAACTCAGCCCACCCAACTTACTTTACTTTTTTTAGTGACAATTTGATTTTTATGTATACGTCCGAGGGAAGAATCAACGGCTTTCTTGCCCTCCTACATTCCATTGATATGGGATGGGATCTAGCTCTAGACAGAATTCTTGAAGTGCCATCGGTGAAGGCAAGGCCAATGAGACTACTATACGATTTTTCTGAGGATTCGTTATGGAAGCAGATAGCAACAACCATTTCATCAGACATGCGTATTTTTTATTATCCAGTGCAGTGGATTTACACAGTTTCATTAATGCAAATTGTTTGGTGTAGTTGGTACTCAGGTTGTTCGACGCTCCTGAATTCTTATTTAGGCAGTTCATATCATCCATACATAGTGTTGTTTTGATCTAAGATTGCAATTCTTCCACGTTTTCGCAGTAGCATATTGTTCCATGGAGCTAGGGTCCAAAATAGGAATCAACAAGTGTTTCCACGACTCTACCGCCCCGCCAATCCTGTTCCACTGAATCCACTCCCTTTTTCATGGCCACATATCTTTACGCCTAAGGAGTATGAAATCTTTCTCCTGTTACACAAATGAAATGTTTCGTTTCATCCGGGAAAAGCCACCCTTTCTCCACAAACAATGTCTTAGTCATTTGATCTAGGAGCCTTCCGTTAGATAGGAACAACTTTGACAAATACTGAGAACTCTCGGATAGAGTATTAGAATGAAAAGACCATTAATTATATAAGGAAGAACCCAGGGTTCTAGCCCATTCCCATTGCCATTCCTATATCACTAATTCTTAGTGCTTTTGCCTTTTTTTGCGTACTCCTGGTGAACAGGTTGCTAGCCATATGTTTAGGAGCCTTTTTCTCCAAGTACTGGTACTAAGCCACTTTGCCATCTCTTCTTCTTCATCCGCAAAGAATTCTCGACGTGAAAACACGGAGACAAAGGCCTGGTCTTTGAGTTTGAAAAAGAATGGATCCGAAGGTCCCAAATCAATTGACTTATTCGAAAAAAGCATTCTTCTTTGAAAGATATATCTCGCATCTAGTGCTGCATTGTTCCACTTTGCAAGAAGTCCGAATCAGCCTCTTGCACCTCCCCTTTTTATGATAAATATACCAGAAATAATTTGAAGAAATAGCAGTCTCTGACAACTCATCCTCTTTAATCTGCTTGGATCCGCTCCAATACCTATAGGAAAATCTCCGGTCATATTCAACGTACATATCCCTGCAATCAAATAGATTGTCCCAAGGGCCCCATATTCTAGGAGCCCAAGTTATGCTATTGAAAATTTGTTCCTCTAGCAGTTCCGGTTTGACCATTATGTTTCTTTTTCAAACTCCACTTCTTTTCATATAACATCCCTAATCAAAGAGAGAACAATATCTATTTCAAAACATTTCTAACAGATTCCTTGGTTCGGGCCGACGAAGTAATGTCACTTGATTATTATCAACCCGACTGCAATCTTTTTCTATCGGTAAAGATTACACCAGAGCATCTTCTTCTATTTCTAATATGCCATGAACTATAAGACAGAGGGAGTATCCTCTGACCTCTTAGGAAGGGATGATTGATTTTTTTAACATTCTTTTATACCAAACGGGGCCATCTCTATAGACTCCACGTAATAGTAAAATACATAACTATGACCAGTTGACACCGTTTCCACCTTTATAGATTAACTGGTCTATATACATTGCCTTGCTTTTATCGGCTTACTGGTAGGGCGGCAGCGGGCCATGGTCAGCCAGACTCCTACCACCTCCCGTCGCCGTCCGCACGTCCATGCGCTTCCAAGATTCGGAACGGGACGAGACAAACCGGCGGCTCGTTGGCACTCCGCACCCACCTTGTGGCCCCCACCTGCCCATGGATGCCGTCGCCGACGCCGAGCCACCCAGGGTCACGGTCGTGGGGTCCTGGCGCTGTCCATCACCGTCCGCCTCCGCTCCCGGCTCCGTCCGGCTAAACTAATCCGGCCGTGGCATCATCTCCTGTCGGTGCCGTGGAACTTGTCCACCACACCGAGGCACCCGATAGAGAGACGGGGACGGCATCGCCAATCACGGCACTACGGGTCTACGGGCTTACGGCAGCAGCACCGACGTCGCGCTCCATCGCCGGATCGCGTCGCAGCATCTGTTATAACGTCTCAACGGCCTCTGGCCCTCTCTGCTCCCCTATCAAAGGCGCTGCAAATTGTGATAACGGAGCCTGCTGCTGTGCTGCATAAACAAAAGAAGAAGTCACCTGTCAACGAAAGAAGTCTCTGTGTTGTTTTGCTTTAATCGCCCAGTGGTACCGTTTTCTACATTTAGCTTCGACACCGCGAACAGAGCTTTCCTTATTGTACTTTCTTATATAACCAGAGATCCTCCATGGCTCCATGAGCTGGACGTGTATGCCTTAACCTCTGCACCATGGATCCGTGTACACCCGACCCGACCCGCGCACGTGAGCTTCGCTCGGAGCATGTGCTTTTTTGCCAAGTCAAATGAACTGCCCCCCGTGCCACGTGGAGCAGTCCCCAGAAAGATCCGGTCAAAAGGCAGACGGACACGGCGGCGGCGAGAGACGAGACTGGTCACTGGTGAGTGGTGACTAGTTCCCGGCCCGACCAACCCCGGAGACTGGAGGAGGAATGGCCGAGCGGGCCTGCTCGGTGCCGGTTCAATGGTCCAGTGGCCTGTTGCCTAACAATCAATCACTGGCGATCGAAAGGCAACCTGGCGTATCGAAGCGAAACTCTGCAGCTACACGGGCGCCTGGGCCTGGAATTCAATCATCGAGAGTGGCGATCAGATCACTCGCTGTGGATATTCTCAACTTGACGCTGACGGTGACGACGGAAGAGTGGCGACCAGTAAGCTCTCTGGACCCAATGCTGCGTATGCATGTCAAACTTTTGCTCACAGTAAGAGCCCTTAAAATAGGGAGGCGAACACAACTCAGTGACTGGAAACTAAGAGACGCCATTCTTCACTTGATTCTATTAGAACTAGAGAAAGCACAAGAAAGACGCACGCTGACAACGGAAGAGTTGGAATTTAAAAGATACTTGAAGATAAAATTTTTAGGCTTCGCTGCCATTCAAAGGGCAAGAGCCAGACAGCATTCCTGGCTGTCTTGGATTTGAAAAGGCGACGGCTTCAATTCATGATACGGTGAACTAGTAGTAGACCTCTTCTCCAGTTGGGCCAGGGTTATTGTTTTTGGAGTCTCAGTCTTTTTACCTGTTTTCTTTCGTGCAGTTGTTTTTTCTACCGTTTTGTTGGTTCCCGTTTTGATTAGTAGGGGATGCTGGATATAAATAGGGAGTTGTATTTGCTCTTTTTTTCTCTTTATATCGTCTAATAAAATCCACGGCAAAGCTTTTGCCGCCCTTACAAAAAAAAAAAAAAAATGCTGACGGTGATGTTTGGATTGCCACTCTAGAGACTAGATTAGCCGCTCCATTGCTTGCTTCCATGGTTCTGATCGGGTGACAGATCTTTTTCAGATTTTCAACCCAGGAATTGACGTGCAGGGCTGTTTCAGTGGCCATCACATTCTCAGAAGTCAAGAACCCAGCTAGCTAGTACAGAGATTCCACGATGGGTTCCTAACTTTGGCTGGTTGAGTTTCTCAAAGAAGAACTAGTAGTAGGGTTGGTTGAGTTCCAGAAAATAGAATTTGGTTGGTTAACGGAGTATCCAATCGGCCTCGACAAGCTTGCAGCACAGTAGATGACTTTACTCTTTGCACAAGGGCGTGGTGGATCTCGAGGCCTTGGGTATGCAGTAGACCATCAGCAGTAGCAGTATATATACTGTTGTACTAAACTAGTGGAGTATATAGTACCACAAAGTGCGAATCTGCCGGGCAGTTTTATACGGTGGCCGACATGCCAAGAAAAGTCTCGCGTTCCGGAACCCTTGCTTGCTGGCTGAGGGAAGCTCCTTCCGCTTCACAGTCACAAGCCTCTGGCGCAACAGCGCTAGCGTGTCGCAATTCGCGCAGCCACACGCTGCGGAGATTCATGAAATGGCCGACGACGATTCACGAAGGGGGTAGACTGATAGATACGTACAGTAACTCCACAGGAAGTGAGACCGGTCGCCGGTGCCCAGCGTCCAAACTTTGAACCGGCACGCTGCGGTGCCGGTGCCCGGTGCCCGGTGCCTGCCGTTTGGAGAAAAAATCCCGCGCGTTGCCCCGCGACGCGCAAAAGGGGCGGAAGCTGCAGGGAAAAAGCGTCATGCGGCGCGGCCCGGCCCCAGATCCAGGCATCCAACCGCGCTGCGGCCCCGCTGCGCCCCTTGTCGTCGCGGCGCCCTCCCTCCCCGCGTCAATCCGTCGTCGACTCGTCGTCGACTCACCTAGCGAGGCGGCCAGTTTTCCACCTCTGCCCCCGTGCCCGTTGACGTTTCCGCCGGCCCCCAATTCGAAAGCCTCCCTCCCCGTTTCTCCCTTCCTTGCCTAGGCGGCAACGCCCCCTGTGCTTTATAACCGAGCGGCCCCTCCCGCGTGAGGCAACCGAGACGGGGGACGAGACCAGCAGACGGGTCAGCCCATCCGAACCCCGCTTCCTCCTCCGGGTTCGCGTGAGGTTGTGTGCTGCTGGGAAGCGGCGGCGGAGGCGCCATGGAGGCGGAGAAGAAGACGCCGGCGGTGTCCGATGTGGGCGCGTGGGCGATGAACGTCGTCAGCTCCGTCAGTCTCATCATGGCCAACAAGCAGCTCATGTCCTCCTCCGGCTACGCCTTCGCCTTCGGTACCCCCCTCCTCTTCTCGTCTCTCCTCCCCCGCGGAGCGCCAGCGGATCTGGAATCCGGATCCGGCCAGCCGCTCGGGGGAATTCGCGGATCTGACGGGGCGTTTGATTGTTGGTTTTTTCGCTGATTGTGTTGTGAATGCGCGCAGCCACCACGCTGACCGGGTTCCACTTCACGGTCACGGCGCTCGTCGGGTGGATCTCCAACGCCACCGGCTACTCCGTCTCCAAGCATGTCCCGCTCTGGGAGCTCGTCTGGTTCTCGCTCGTCGCCAACACCTCCATCACCGGGATGAACCTCAGCCTCATGCTCAACTCCGTCGGCTTCTACCAGGTACACCTTGCTCTCACAGTGGCAGGCGTATGCCGACCATTTTGGCCTGGGTTGCTTGTGTGGCTGAAGTTGAGAATCTGCAGATCTCCAAATTGAGCATGATTCCGGTCGTCTGCCTGATGGAATGGGTGCTGAACAGCAAGCACTACACCACTAAAGTCATATCGGCAGTGATTGTCGTGGCCGCCGGTGTTGGGATTTGTACTGTCACGGATGTCGAGGTCAATGCAAAGGGATTCATCTGCGCTTGCGTTGCAGTGTTCTGCACGTCGCTTCAACAGATTGTGAGCTTTTTTCCTTTTCACTAGTCTTCTTGCTAGCCTTTTTGTATTGTGTATTCGATTATGATATTGAGAATTCTAATTTTGACCACCATAATGTTATTCTGCAATTTGCAACGAGATTTTGTTACGTGACTATGAATTTGAGCTGTCGACCTTATTTAAACCGATATAGACAATAATGACGAAATATTTTGAAATTGGTTAGAGGTTATTGGTCGTATTGGATGCCTTCCCTTTCTGCTCCCTCTTTAATCAAACATGGACAGATGTAAAAAAAAGAAAGAGAAAACATGCAGCTTAAGTTTGAGATTTCCCCTCATAAGTTGTTCTGTTGCAAATGCCCATCACTACTTAGCTTTGTTGCAAAAAACACCCACTACACACACTCAACTGATTATGCCAATGTAGTGCCATGACAGTCCAAGGTAACCGAGTGAAGTTTGTCCAAGTGCTTGGATTAGCCTTATTATCATGTTGCTGTGCTCCTATTTAAGACTCAGTTTGTCAACATTTAAGCTCTCATCAGGATTCTTTTGGTGGAATCCCCGAGAAGTGCCGGGATTATACTCTAATGATTACATTGGCAGTTCCAAATTGATAAAAACAGGTTGAATCAGTTATGTGTATGTGCAATAGAACCAAATAGGGGAGTGTGGGTATTTACAACAAAATGGCTTATGGGAGGAACTCAAAATCCAAGTGAGATATGGGTTGTTTTTTGCAATTTTCCCTTCAAACAGTTGAGCTGCTTTGGGCATCACTTAATTGCTGTATCTGTAGCTTGTATCATAACTGGTTATAACTTATAACTAGGCAGCAAGGCACTGTTACTGACTTACTTGATGCCCAAACTTCCGCAGTTCTCTGAAATACAATAATACAGATCGATGGTAAAAAGGGTACCAAAAGATCATCAGTAGAGATGTATCATGATTTGTCAATTTGTATACTACATTATAAGCTGCACATGGGCAGTTCTCTTCATAGATGCTTCTATGTGCTTCCTCACATTTTTGTTATCTTGTACTGTGCAAATTTATTTGATTGTTTTGTATCCTTCAAGATCAAACTACCTGCAATCAATTTGAAGCATTTTTTGGCGTTTTACATTCTTCTTGTTTCATCTTCAAATGATAGTATATATCCAGTTCTATGATCTACATAAAGAGATGTTTTACTAACAAAAATATCGTCTTTGAAGTTTGTGTTTTACAAACAAAAATGTGATCTTTGAAGTTTCTGGAAAATTTCTAAACTTTAGTAATACTTTTAAGTTGTACATGAAGAATTTAATATTTTTAGTATCGAGTACCGAAAAGAATTGTTATTGGAAATTACTTTCTACAACAATACTTGTCTCACAGTAATGCTTATGTAATCTACTAAGTTCCACTATACTCAGAGGGGATGAGCTGATGATGTGTTTCCTCTTCCCAGACAATTGGCTCCTTTCAGAAGAAGTACAACATTGGATCATTTGAGCTGCTGAGCAAAACTGCACCAATTCAGGCACTTTCACTTGTTATACTGGGCCCCTTTGTGGACTACTACCTAAATGGACGGTCATTGTTGAACTACCCTTTTTCAGGAGGGGCAACTGTAAGTTATCCCGTCACAATTTGCGGTTCTTTAGAGCAATGCTATCTTTATTCCCACTACTTATCCTGAGTTATCTATCTTCTACTTTAAATTCATTGGCGGTGTTCTCATCTCTTTAACTTATATGTTTAACTCTATTATTTTTGCCATTCTAGTATAGTGAAAAAACCCAGGCAGTGGCCCACCTGTAGTAAATTCATGTTGATGGGCCCACATAAGATAACTTATTCTGACATGGAACTGCCCGACCAATTATCCTTTTTCCTTTTCCTATATCATTTTCTTAATATTCTTAATGATAATTTTTCTTGGTTTTGCACCTTAGTTTCTTGATTTCTAAATTTAAAGCAAAATGTTACTAGCAGTTGATTGCAGCTACAAATGATTGAATGAAGTTGCTCATGCTGCTATATGCCCTACTCATTATGCAATCTTTGTACTAACCGGATACTTGGGAGGTGGGGACTACTGCCTATGATCTAACAGCTTCCCTTTTAATCATTTTTGCAGTTCTTCATACTGCTTTCCTGCTCCCTGGCCGTCTTCTGCAACATGAGCCAATACCTCTGCATCGGCCGGTTCTCAGCGACCTCATTCCAGGTCCTGGGCCACATGAAGACCGTGTGCGTGCTGATCCTCGGCTGGATCCTGTTTGACTCGGCCCTCACCGTGAAGAACATCCTCGGTATGCTGCTTGCCGTGATGGGCATGGTGGTCTACAGCTGGGCCGTGGAAGCGGAGAAGAAGGCTGCAGCCCCGATCCCCCGGAACAAGAGCGACATGCTCGACGGCGACGGCGAGGACGTACCCCTCAAGGCCAGGGTGAGTGGCGTGCACGCAGGCGACCTCGAGGACGGCGAGATGAAGAGCTAGCCGCTGCGGCCGCCGCTGCTGATTCGTTCATTCTTCTTGTTCTTTTGTAACTGTGCGCGCCCGCTCGCTCGCTCGCTCGGTCGATCGATCCAAAGTTGCTTGTTCGTCAGTCCTCAACTATCGACACTACACTGTTAATTTTGGCCCTTTGTTGGGGGGAGTCCGTTCGTAGGTGACGACGACCACCCCCCGGTTTCGACGTAGATGAAACACATACTGGCAGATTGTTAGGATTTTTCAGGCGGGGAGGTGGAGCCATTCATTGTCAATTTCGTGGTGGCATGTTGCTATAGATGGTGACAATACTTTAGATTTATAAGTAATGGAAATACAGGTGTTTCTCCGTGGTAGGACTGATAGGATTCAGCAGGCTATGCATTTCTTATCTTGAGGTTTCGCTGTCGGGTTCTGGTTGCTGCCTTGCTGGGGGTTCTGCATCGTTTCACACATCGCCCACGAGGCCGCGAGCATCATGGATTTCGTCGGAGTCGGAGAGAGTGCCTCTTACGGTCTTGCCTGTCCCACATGGGATGAGACATTGCTGACGGGTCACGGGAGTGGGAGGGGATTGGTCATGCCGGTGGCACGTGGCGCGATGCGCATGCGACGAAGCCGACGGCAGGCGCCAGGCGGGCACCGGCTGGGGGAAGGCCGGGGCCGGGGGCGATACCATCGTAAGAGCAACTCCAAGAGATTAGAAAAAAAATTCTAAATCTTCTAATTTAGCTATTCTGTAAAATAGAACACCCACGAAAACAATAGACTAATCCAACAGCTTTGGTAAAAAAAATTCCATTCTTCATCCTGCCACGTCATGCGACCACGCCATCTTTGGCTCCTGGTTGTGGCGCAGCGGCTTGACTACTTGAGCATGACGTCGAGCACCTTGTGCGCGCCGTCCCCGCCGCCGCCGCCGGCAGTCGCAAGTCAAGAGTTGATGTAGGCTTTGGCTGGGCTGACTCGTGGGAGCAGAGAGGTGGAGGGGCCTTGAGGCGTAGTCGCGGCCACTGTCGGAGTGGACGGCAGCAGCAACAGCAGAGAACAACGCGAGAGATGGAGAGGACGAGCTAGTCAAGCTCGACCTTAATGGCGAGCAGCGGCTGCTGCGTTGCGTCGGTGTTGCATGCGCAATCGATACCGGCAGCTGATGTAGTACGCACCGCTTGCTCGTCGAAGCTCGAGACGGCCACGGAGTCGAGTGTGGGGTGCAAAGAAGAGAGATCCGCCTCGACATGTGCACGGGCGCACTATGCAGTAGCTCGGCACCGGCGGCACAGAGATGAAGTCGGCGTGTGCGATGGACACCAGTCGAGCGGCTCCCCTGTTAACAGCAGATTAGAAAGGACAGAGGAATCCGAATCTAGGCAGGGAAGAACAGCAAGGGGATAGGAAAAAACGAGGAGTTCTTAGTAGCAGACGAGTTTCGTTACAATAGCTGATGCCCCTTCTACGAGAAGGTACTAGTCTATACTGTATATCAAAACACTCCACACGGTTCAGAAGCAGCGGCGCGCACGCCCTCTGTCGCTGGGTCACTTGGACATCCATTCCGGCCCGGTGTAGCGTGGATTGCCAGTCCTGGGCCTCTTCGGCCTGTCTTCCTGTGGCCCGTCTGAAGCCAGCGTTTCAGCTGAAGGCGAGCTCTGTGCCTGATAAGTGTCCGCTGATGTAGTGCTGACATTCCCCCTCTCTTGCGCGCCATGCTGCAGCCACAAATTGGCGCGAGGGAACTGCTGATGCAGATACTCCAGGTCTTCCCAAGTGGCTAAAGAAACTGGCATGTTAGACCACTGAATAAGACCCTGCTGAATGAATTTCTTACCACGCGCCACCTGACGGTGTTGGAGGATGCGCTCAGGAATGCTCCATTGAGCAAACGCCGGAGGTAGAGTTGTAGTGACAGTGTGGCGAGCACCCACTGCCTTTTTAAGTTGCGAAACATGGAAGACGGGATGCACCGTAGATGAAGGTGGAAGCTCAAGCCTGTACGCGACCGAGCCAACACGTGCCAGCACCTTGTAAGGTCCAAAGTAATTGAAAGCGAGCATCTGACTGCTTCTATCAGTAACTGACGTTTGCACATAGGGTTGAAGCTTGAGGAAGACCCAATCATCAACTTGAAGCTGACGTTCCGAACGATGACTATCAGCAGCATGTTTCATACGCTGCTTGGCGCGAAGCAAATGCTGCTGTATAACTGCAGACATCAGCTCACGATCATGCAACCAACTAGCAATGTCAGTAACAGGTTGCTCATCCGCGGAACTGATGCCAAAATGTGTAGGAGCATATCCATAAAGCACCTCAAAAGGAGATCGCCCCAGTGCCGAATGCCAACTCGTGTTGTACCAAAACTCGGCTAAGTCAATCCACTGATACCACTGTTTGGGACAAGCATGAACATAGCAATGCAAGAAGGTCTCCAAACATTGATTTACCCGCTCGTTCCGCCCGTCTGATTGAGGGTAGTAGGCAGTACTCATGTGGAGCTCTACCTTGGCCAACTTGAACAATTCACACCATAGAGCACTGGTGAAAATCTTATCGCGATCAGAGACCAGGGCAGTAGGCATACTATGAAGGCGATAGACCTGAGAAATGAAGAGCTTGGCAACTGTAGCAGCGGTGAAGGGGTGACGCAGACTTAGAAAATGGGCATACTTGCTGAAGAGATCCACGATCACCAGAATACAGTTGTACCCCTCAGACATAGGCAATCCCTCCACGAAATCCAAAGATAACACCTTCCAGGCACGTTTAGGCATTGGCAACGGCTGAAGAAGTCCTGGAAGCTTGCTGCGGTCGGGCTTCGCCTGCTGGCATATTTGGCACTCAGCCACAAAGGCACGCACTGCGACCAGGCCAATAAAAATGCTGCTTAATGCGTCGGTAAGTTATTGGTACCCCACTGTATCCTCCAACCGCGCTGGCATGCATTGCTTGCAAGAATTTTAGACATAAGGCAGCATCACTCCCAACCCATATACGACCCTTGTAACGAATCAGACCATCTTGAAGAGTGTAATGAGGTGGAGACATAGAGTTATCTGAGAGCTTGGCCAACAATTCTTGAGTCACCGGGTCACTGTCATAAGACTGCAGTACTTCAAGCAACCATGTGGGTTGACAGACAGACATGGCAGCACATTGCACTACTGGAACTCGTGACAAAGCATCGGCCGCTCCATTATCAACGCCTTTCTTGTACACAATGCGATATTGCAGGCCAAGGAGCCGAGTAAAAACCTTTTGCTGCCACGGAGTATGAAGACGTGTTCTTCCAACTGTACTAAGCTCTTGTGATCGGTCAGGATCTAAAACTCAGCCAGCTGTAGGTAACTGCGCCATTGCTCAACGGCCATTAGAATTGCCAGATACTCTTTTTCATAAATGGACATGCCCTGTAAACGAGGACTGAGACATTTACTCAGGAATGCCAGAGGATGGCCCTGTTGCATCAATACTGCACCGACACCAGTTCCACTAGCATCTGTCTCGATGACGAAGGGCTTGGAAAAGTTGGGCATGGCCAAAACTAGAGCTGAGGTCAAAGCTTTCTTGAGTGCCGAAAATGATTGCTCCTGAACCTCAGTCCACACAAATAGTGCCCCTTTTTAAGAAGATCAACGAGGAGCCGGGAGAGCATACCAAAATGGCGCACGAAGCGACGGTAATAGCCCGCCAATCTCAAGAAGCTTCGCAATTCCTTGACAGCGGAAGGAGTTGGCCATTGCAACACTGCCTGCACTTTGTCCGGATCAGTGGCAACTCCTTGTTCAGAGATAAGATGGCCTAGATAACACAACTGTCGCTGAGCAAAGACACACTTGGAGAATTTAACTTGCCATCTGTCCCGTTGCAGCAGGTGCAGCACTAGGCGTACATGTTCAATATGTTCTTCCAAAATCCAACTGAATATCAAGATATCGTCAAAGAATACTAGCACGCACTTGCGCAATAATGGCCCCAATGTGATGTTCATGGCCTTTAGGAACATAGCGGGCGCTCCAGTCAATCCAAACGCCATCACATAGAATTCATACTGTCCTGTATGAGTTTGGAACACCGTTTTAGGTTCTTCACCCGGCTTTAGACGAATTTGATGATATCCTGTTGTCAAGTCCAAGGTTGAAAACCAGGACGCCCCATGCAACTCATCCAAAAGTTCCTCAATCACCGGCACCGGGTACTTTGCCTTTACCGTGATGGCGTTGAGATGCCTAAAATCCACATAAAACCGGTACGTCCCGTCCTTCTTCTTGACAAGGAGTACAGAAGAGGAGAAGGGGCTTTGACTAGGTTGCACAATGCCGGAGTTGAGCATTGTAGTGATTTGGCGCTCAATCTCATCCTTTATAGCAGGGGGGTAACGATAGGGGCGAACGTTGACAGGAGTAGCACCCGGTATCAGTGGAATATCATGGACAAAAGCACGCTCCGGAGGATAACCCTGCAGTGGCTCGAACACAGACTGAAACTCTTGCAAAAGCTGAGTTATAGCGGCCGGTTGATTGGGTGTAGCAGAATTAGTGCTGTCATCAGTTACAGCGGTCACCTAGATGATAGAGCCGGGAGGTAAGCTGTGTAACTCCCCTTGCAATGCCCGGGAAGCACCTTCATATTTAATGACCAACCATTTCTGTGCCCAATCGACCTGCATTGGGCTGTACTGAGCCAGCCAGTCCATACCCACCACCATGTCATAGTGGGCTAGAGGTAGTACTTTAGCATCTGTATGAAAAGAGCAACCCTGTACCTCCCATTCTAACTACAGAAAAGTGGCAGCACAGTCCAAAATCTGGCCATCAGCAATCTTAACATGGAGAGGTACAGGTAGAGAAGTTTGCCCTGCCAACCTGGAGCTTAGAGCATGTAACACCCCAGGTGTTTGCCACCAGTTAAGCAATGGGTTTGAGCTAAAACATGGTATATTAAGTGATGATGAAGATGTCAAGGTCAAACCTATAGAAACGAGCCCCAACCTAAACTTGGATATTGCA